CCGAGGGCCCACTCGAGGGCCCAGTTAGTAAGACCTGACCAGTTGGAAGGTATCAGTTGCGTCATCTCTCTTTCAACGAGGAGGAGGAGGTGGTCATCATCTGTTCACTGTTGGTGAGCGAGCTCCGTCCAACCTACCTCCTCCTCCCATAGCCCCTTCTCCCTCCTCCTCCCATAGCCGTTCTCCCTCCTCCTCCCATAGCCCTTCTTATCTTCCACAGTCGCGCCTTTGGGCCTCGTTCCACTACTGCATCATTTTTTTTTTTTTTTTAAACATATTCACGACACTCCCATCGTACCACCTCTGTCGATATATCTCCTGGCGCACCCCCACTCCTTTTCTATCTTACCTTACGCGAGGAACATCTCTCTCTACCGGAGAGCAACCTGACCAGACAGCGATGTAGCGAATGAATACTGTCGTGGAAACCGGAAAGATACATTCCATTTCTCACATTCGGAGAGCAGTGGAGCGATGACCCCCCACCCCCCTCCCCCTCCCCTGGCTTGTTATCCGCTTCGTCCTCTCATCACCATGTCCATCGCTATCGCCATCGCCATCCTTCTCCGTCTCCTTTTTCGATTCCTTTTTTTTTTTTTTTTTGAACGATTCCTTTTTTTTTGCTGAAACGTCTCGCCTTTTTTTTTTCCCCGTCTTTTTTCATTTTTTGAAAAGGGCGACGGCTTTGAGATTCATCGCTGAACTGGCCAGCCCCAGGTAATTCATAATGAATTTGATCTGGTCGTCTTTTTTTTTTTTTTTTTTTTTTTTTTTGGAGGGTTGGGTGGGGGGGGAACAAACAAGTGCTCCAGTCTACTCGTGGGGAGCAGCACGTGCTCGATCTGGTCATCCTGTTTGCATTGGGATTTGAACTTGCATCCGTATTTCAACAGATCATGGTTGTGTCAACTGAGCTAATCTCATGGGTGTCTCTCCCTTTGTTCTGCTCTTCCTCAGTTATCGGTTGCTCCTTCTTCCTCTCCTCCTCCTTTGTCCGCTTTTTTTTTTTTTTTTTTTCGCGTTTGTCCGACGTTTTTCCCTTTTTTTTGGTTGGAGAAACTCTGCATGCTTCTCCTCCCCTCATTCTGCTCTTCCTAATTGATCGCCTTTTCCTTCTGTTGCTGCCGTTTTTTTTTCTTTTTCTTTTTTTAGATAATGATTAGCACGGCATAATGATGATGATGATGATGATGATGATGATGATGATGACAATGATGGTTTTTTTCTTCTTCTTCTGATAACGGATCTTTATGTAGATTGGCGACCGGGGAGAGAGAGAGAGAGAGAGAGAGAGAGAGAGAGAG